AAGATAAAAAAAATATATTTTAGTTTCTAATAGTTAGTAAGTATTAGAGATTAAAAGAACTAGAAGTTTATATTAAGCTTAAGTTAGACTTAATAAAAATTAACTAAAGGAAAAAGAATCTCTAAAGAATAAGATATATTAAATAAAAAGTATTAAAAAAAATAAAAAGAAATTAAAAAAAAAATTAATAAATAAAATAGTAAAATAGAATTTCATAAATATATTATATTTAAAAGAAAAGATTTAGACTTTTATAATAATCTTTATAGACTTTTAAAAAAATAGATAATATTAAAAGATAAAGAATTAGAATAAGAAACTAATTAATTATAACTATTTATTATTATTCTAGAAAAAAAGAAAATATTAAAAGCAATAATATATAGAAAGTATTTAAAAATTAAAGTTAATATATTAAGATAATATATTTAAGCAATAATTGATTTAAGAGTAATTAGAAACTATATAGATTTATAAATTATAAATAAATTAAAAATATTAGGAGTTAAGAAATATAAATTACTATTATTAATAGAATTAAATAAAAAATAATTTATAGATAATAATACTATTAAAAATAAAAGTAAATGGCTTATAATAAATATTAGAATATATTATAAGTATATTAATTTTAATATTATAAAATTAAAAAGGGATAATATAATCTTTAATATATCTTAATTAAGGAAGTATAATCTAGAGATCTATTAAAAGTAGAATTAATTAAATCTAATAAGATATAATTATAAAATCTGGACTATAAAAGCTACTGAGCTAAAAGAGAGATTAGTAAATCTAAGAACTATTTTAAATAAGAAATAAGTGAGAGTTTTATTTTAAAATAAATTATCTAATAGATTAAAAGTATAATATTAAATTATTACTAAGATTATAGAAGAAGAATAAAGTCTTAAGGATATTAATTAGAAAAAAGATGAGTTATTTAAAAAATATAAGAGATTTAGAAGTTTATTTAATAAAATATATAAAATATTGCTAGAGTATAATAAATAAGATTATATTATTCTATTTATAAAAAATAAGGAATTAAAGCTATAAAAAATATATTAAATATTAGAATTAGAGGATAAGGCTTTAAAAGAATATATTAATAATATATTAGAAAAAGAATATATATAATTATTAATATTACTAGCAGAATATCTAATATTATTTATACTAAAGAAAGGAACAATAAAATTATAATTATATATTAATTATAGATAGTTTAATAATATTATAATTAAAGATGCTTATTTTTTACTATTAATTACTAAAATATAAGATAAAGTTAAAAGAAAGAAATAATTTATTAAACTTAATATTATTAATATATATAATTATTTAAGAATTAAGAAAAAAAAAGAATAAAAAATAGCATTTAGAATAAAATATAGATATTATAAATATCTAATTATACTATTTAGATTGATTAATATATTAGTAACATTTTAAAAATATATTAATTTAATTATTAAGGATTATTTATACAATTTCATTATTATCTATCTTAATAATATTATAATATTCTTGAATAGCTTAAAGGATTATATTAGATATATCAAAATAATATTACAAAACTTAAAAATAGCAAAACTATAAGTAAAACTAGAAAAATATAAATTCTATATATAAGAAACTAATTTTTTGGGATATTAAATTATATAAAAAGAAATATAAATAGATAAAGAAAAAATATAGATAATAAAAGATTAGTTTATACTAAGAAATATTAAAGAATTATAATTATTTATTAGAATAATTAACTATTATTAGAGATATATTAAAGGATATATAAATATTATAGCATCTATATTTAGATTACTTAAAAAGGATATTAGATATGAATAGATAAAAGAATAGGAAAAAACTTTTAAAGAAATAAAATATTATTTAATAATTATATCTATACTAGTATAGTTTAATAATGATAAATTAATAATATTAGAAATTAATATATCTAATTATATTATTAGAATAATAATAATATAAGAAGAATAAGATAGAAAATAAAGAATAATTATATATTATTTAAAGAAGATAATTAATATAGAATTAAACTATAATATATATAATAAAGAATTATTAGTAATAGTAATAGTATTATAATATTAGAAAATATATCTAGAAGAAATTAAATTTTTTATATAAATTATTATAGATTATAAAAATCTTACTTACTTTATATTAATTAAAATATTAATAAGAAGATAAGCAAGATAATTAAAAATATTATTATAATATTAGTTTATAATTAAATACTATAAAGGAAAAGATAATAAATAAATAAATACACTTAATAGATGATTAGATTATAAAGAAGAAATATAAATATTAAAATCTATACTATTTAAGAAAATAAAAAATAAAAATCTAGAATATAATCTATAAATTACTATTTTAATAATAATAATAAAGTATAATACTAATTTAGAATTATAAGATCTAATTATTAAAAAAATAGTAAATAATAAAACTATTTAAGGGATACTAAATAATATATAATAAAGAGAAGAATATAAAAAAATAATTATTAATAAAACAGAACTTATATTTTGACATAGTTTAATCTATATATTAAAAATAGTTAGAGAAAAAGTTATTAAAATATATTATAATAAATTAATAATAGGATATCTAGAAATTAATAATATATTAGAAAGAATATTAAGAAATTACTACTAGTTAAATATATATAAAGTAATACATAATTATATTAAGGAATGTAATATATGTTAAAAGAATAAGGTTATAAGATATAAATTATATAAATAAATGTAACTACTACAGGCACTAGAATATCCATGGTAATAGATAATAATAGATCTTATTATAAAACTATTAAAGTTAGAAGGACATAACTCAATCTTAGTGGTAGTAAATAGAATAATGAAGTATATATATTTTATACTAATAATAGAGAAAATGGATATATTATTACTAGTCAAGACATTATTATAATAAGTATTTTAATATTATAATATACTAGAAATTATAATATTAAATAAAGGATTAGCATTTGCATTATAATTATAAAAATTTATGATAGATTTAATAGGAGGAGAATAATAATTAAGTTTAATATATTATTTATAAACTAATAGATAAATAGAATAAATAAATTAGATATTTAAATAATACTTATAAAGCTATATAAATTATTAATAAGATAATTGGGTAGAATTATTTTTAATAATATAACTAGTATATAATATAAGCAAGCAATCTATAATAAAGATAATATTATTTATAATATATACTGGAAAAAAAGCAAAAATATTAGGATAATTATATTATAATTAACTAATAGTAGAAACTATAAAAGAAATAGTTAATAATATAAAGATTATATATCTTTATTTATAATAAAAAATAGAATATAAAAGACAAACTAACATAGAAAGATATAATCATAAAAATTAAAAGGGATCTAACTTTAAAAAGAGAAAGAAGGTCTATTTTTTTTTAAAAGAATTTATAGATATTATAAGAAAGTAATAAACTCAATCACTTATAACTAAGACTATTTAAAATTAAAGAAAAAATTAAAGAAGTTAATTATAAATTTAAATTATTAGATTCTATAAAAATTTATCTTATATTTTATATATTATTATTAGAATCAGCACTATAGAATATAAAAATATAAACTAATATTATTATTAAATAAGAAATCTATAAGATTAAAAAAATATTAGTGATTAAAATATTAAGAAACTATAAGAGATATTTAGTAAAATAGAAAAGATATAATGAATTAGAAAGTATCTAGAAAGTTATTAAGAACTTTATTAGAGTAAAAGAGGTAATTAAAAAATTCTATTAATATTAGGATTTAAGGAAAGAAAATCTTAGAATAAGAGTATATCTAATAAAAATAGTTTAGAATTGATAAGTAATATTTTAATATCTAAAAAGGACATGATAGTATTAAAATACTATTTATTTAAAGAAATTAGAATAAGATCTTTAAAATCTTTCTTATTAAAAATATCTATAATATTTATATTATAATTTAATATTTTATTACTATGCTCTTTAAGAAACTTTTGTTATTTTTAAATATAATAAATCTTAATAAAATTAACTAATCTTTATTATTAATAAGTCTGAATTATATCTGATCTTATTAATAAGTTACCCTTATGAACCTTTGTGTGGTTTATCTATTATATTGTATCTCGACACAACCAGTGACAACTAGGGTGGATCCAGGCGCGTGACAACTATATCTATGAAAATAGAGTAAACAGAGTAATAGCTATATTAGCTATAATGAAGGAAAATTATAAAAGAATATTTATTTATTTTATATTTAGTTTTCTTCTATTATCTTAAATTAACTATATTAAGTATTAACTAAGATAATTTAAGTATATAATTTTTTATTAATCAAAATATTTAGATCTTATTCTTATTTCTTTTATCTACCAAGACCTTTTAACCTTAGAAGCCTATTAACTTCGCCCGTTAATAGCTATCCTAGCTATACTCGACGGTAACCCAACCGAAGTTTCCGACAGCGATAGACTGACTACACCTTTCCAGAAGAGAATATTATGACCCATACTCAATTAGCCCGTATCTATATCTTCATCCAGAAGCGGTGAGGATCATATATTATCAGATCCGACTTGGAGTTGGGCCAACAGGCCAGAGCGGTTCAAAAAAAAAAGGTGGGGGGGGGGTTGAATTCTTGTTGAACGGGTTAATCAAATCAGGTTAGCTTTGGACTGTTTTGAGCAGCTAAGAGCGGTCCAAAAAACTAATGACAAGAGTGGGATTCGAACCCACGCCCGTGAAGACTACCGTAGTTGATCTGTGGATCAGCCTTAAGGTAGCGCCTATGATCTGATTAGTTGTTGTATAAGCTATTATTCGCGTTTCTTTACACACCTTAGACCGCTCGGCCATCTTGCCTTGTTATAAGTTTGACTTATAAGTTTGATTCTATCTTGGTTCATCAGGGAGTAGTAACACCTGATCCTGACAGTAGCGGAATGGCCGAGATCGAAGACCCAGGAATTGCAGTTGATGATATTTTGGACAATCAATCAAAGCTTGAGGAAAAGGCAAAAATTGAGGTACGTTTATTGACAACTCTAATTATATAGTCACTAAAATTGCCATAGACAGGAGAAGATGTTGTGGCAGACACAGACTGGGAAGTTGTGAATCGATTCGAGTCGCTCGATACTGTCCGCGCCGTCCTTTTACAACAACGTACACCAGGTGGCATTGTTAGAGTGAACGGAAATCCTTCCAGACATACCTTGACAAGCAGGGTTACCGGGACAGTTCTAGTCGCTGCTAGATCGGGCGAGAAGATCACACTTGTTGGGAATCCATATGTCCTTCGATTCCGGCGACGTCAGTGAAGCGATTCACGTATTCCACCAAATCATCTGCTAGTCTGTGTGACAGTTGTACGTTTGCACTCCATCCAAGTTTCGAATCTATTTTGATATCGATGGATGGCAAAGCATCGAACCATGGATATATAAGCTGCATATGCTGGCAAACCGACTGATACCCTTGCAACAATGTGATTCCACTACGTCCGGAGTCTTGGAATGATTTCTTCAGCATCAAGTCGCGAAAGCCTCGTAACCGGCCATGTTATCATACTCAATAGTAAAACCTGGGACCGCAATTCTCGATAAATGTCTTTCAAAAGGTTTGATGTTCTCACGAGTTTGTATTGCTGTGACCTTGATAGAGTACTGGGCGGCCCATCCCGAATAAGTTTACAACACTGCCCGATCAGTTCGTGATAACCCTCTGTCAATACGCATGGGCTATCGTCGAATAACTTCTCAGAATCCGATATGGAAATGAGGAAATTATCCGAGCTAGAAGCTTTCGGCATTATGGCGTTGTACAGAAAAACACTTATGAGCAAGGCATAGAGCAGATGAGACGGCATGCGAAGGTGCGAGACTGCATGCGAATGTGTGAGACTGAATGCGAATATGTTCAATTACTGAGGGATATCATTGGTCTAAAGCATCATGCAAATCTTCAGCGTGACAGAATGGAGGGCCGAATTGCTAAATTGAAATTAATTCAGTCTGTGTCAGTATATTAGTTGGCTCAGGGCATAATTTCGTTATTACACGCATGCACTTATGTCAGTGTTGTAGCTCAAGCTTAATAACTACCAATGCTAAAAGAAGCAATCTAAAAGCCCATTATTAAGACGTCTATAAAGATGCCAGCCTTGTCCCAGTTTCACCGCAATTCAAACAGACCACTGGTTTCAGACCATGATCAGTCACAATCTTAATTCTCAGTATATAGACAGAGAAGCATACAATATAATTAACGTTAAGAAGCCTGGTGCGCCGAAGCCACCTTTAAAGTAATAAATTCAGCTTGTATTATTTTAATCTAGATTATTTAGCTTCCTTAGATTTTAATCATGATAGTACATTTCTATATATTTAAGATTCCTAAATAAATATAAACAATCGTTTCTTCTCTAGCCTTATTTAAAGATATATATATACGCGTATTTAGTTAACAGTAGAAGCTAACTAAATAGATAAATTATATAACTATACTGTTTCAATAGTTCTAAAGATTAAGCTTCATATATCCTATCTCTAGAGACTTGACTACTTTTAACCTAAATATAATCAGTAAGGGAAATAATCTCAAGTTTATCTGCATCAATAATCTATGTTTAGAGAATTCAGGCTCTCTTATAGTTAATCTTTTCTATATAAAGTCTATAGACATTGAAATACTTTGAATCAGAGACTGTGAGCCATATATCCCTAAAAATAAGGACAAAGAAATATAGATATACTTTAGCCTTGATTGGCAGAGATTTCACATACCTGTTCCATATAAATTTATAGAGTTGCAGCCTAACTTTATCAAAGTAACAACGCGTGCATAGTTAGATAAAGCTAGTTTTAGAGGGGATACATTAATAGCAGACCTTAACCAAGTTTAATAAACTTTTCTCTTGATTTGTGTAGAAAAGCAAATTAGCTTATATCTAGGCAGCAGCATAAAGTGGTATATTCACTTCGCAATTTTATAACCCCAGTCACTATCCTGGATTTAAAATGTATATAAGGCTACTAACTTAGATTCCATACGCGCGTATTATAGCTAATATTGTGTCTAGAGCTCTTAATGAATACTTTTCATCATTAATACTAGTTATATATTATAAAACCCAGTCAGATTACAAGGGTACCTATAGTGCTACTTACATACTCAAGTCATGATAGTGTTCGAAACTTCGGTTACTTTACCGTCGAGTATAGCTAGAATAGCTATTAATGGGCAAAGTTAATAGATTTCTAAGATTAAAAAATCACAATAGATAAAAAAATAAGAATAAGGTCTAAATATCTTGATTAATAGAAGATTATATATTTAAGCTAATACAATTAATTCAAGATAATAGAAGGAAACTAAATATATAATAAATAAGCATCTTCATATAATTATCCTTTATTATTTTCTTTAATCTCTTACCATAATAGCCTATTTAATCTATTATACCTAAGATATCTTTAGTATAATTCTCATCATATTATTATTTTAAAGATATAACACTAATCTTTTTCCTATAAATATTAGCGCCTACATGTTTCTATAAATCTATAATCTTCATATATATATCTTAATATTCATAGTGGGTTAGTTCTCAAATAATTGTTTATTTCTATATATTAGTGTTCTTTATTTATTAGTTATAACATTCTAATTCTTTAATAATCCTCTTTTTTAAAAACTGACATCTTAACAGCTTAATAAATAGTTTATATTCCGTAGATATGTAAATAATTATCTTAACTCCTAATTTTCTACAATATATAATTTTATAATTTTATATTAATTATATCTCCTAAATAAAATAAAACTACTAAAATTTATAGTTTTATTAATAAAATTAAAAAGTTCAGGGCTATTCTTTTATTTCTATATAAATGCTATTATCAGCTTAATTATATATATATTAAATTAGAAGATTCTTCTTATTATAATAATTATATTTATATAAATAACTATTACTATATTAAAATAATAAATTCTAAGTCTTTCTAAAAGCGCTTAATTACTACTTAAGATAAAATTAAAACAGATAAGAAAAAGACTTAAAAGAAAATTGTAGCCCTTATAACTTAATTTTCTTAATTATAAAAATAAAAGAGACTTCTTCAAAAATATATAAGAGAATTTTTTTAAATAGATATAAAAGACATTAAGAAGCTAGAATAATTAAAATAAATAGAAAAAAGGATAAAAATAAAATAAATAGAATAATAATAAAAAATTAAAAAACTTTTTATTGCTAATTTTATTTTATAAAGTAATAATCTTTTTTTTTAATATTAACTTTAATTCTTTTATCTTTCTTAATTATATCTTTATCTTTATTCCTAAATCTTCTTAGAATAATTTAAATGCCTAATAAGTTATTAGATATTTTTTTTAGATCTATATTCTTTTTATTTTATAAGATAATAAATATATCCTTTTTCTAACTTATAATACAGTATCTTTTTAATTTTATATTTTTTATTATCTATTACTTTATCTTTATTTATTGGATTATTTGTTAATTCAAATAATAAAATATAAAATATTAAGTATATTTATATTTTTACTAATAGTTAAAGTTCATAATTATTATTTATAAATTTTTCTTTAATAACAAACAATTTAAATTTAACTATATTAAATATATCATTTAATTTTATATTTTTAACATTAAAATTCTTTAATCTTAATATTTATCATAATAAATAATGTCACGCGCCTGGATCCACCCTAGTTGTCACTGGCTGTGTCGAGGTACGATACGATAATTGAACCATACAGAGGTTCTTAAGAGTTAACTTGTCAATAAGATCAGACATAGTTTAGACTTATTAATAATAAAGATTGGTTAATTATAACTAAGATAAAAGAAGCACCTTAAAGTATTATAATATTTTAAGTAAATTTTGCCTTACTAATCCTCTTAATATATAACTAAGTAACTGAGATTAAAGAGTTATAAAAGATTCTTAAATATATAAGGAAGGAGTATATTTATATAGATCTATTTTCTTATAATCCTATATATATTCTTAGTATATATCTAGTATATATCTAATAGCTATTCTTTTCTTTATATATAATCTTCCTATAATCTAATTACCACTTAGACTATATACTAATTATATAATTCTATATCCCTTAATTGTACCTTTATAATAGTATATAGTAATAATTAATTATAATATATATTATTTTATTAAAATATCTTTTTATAATAGTCACTAATCTATATTAATATTATATAAATTAATTTTATAATATTATTTTCCTCTCTTAGAACCTTGATCTCTAAAAATATAAATAAAAAGACTTATTCTTATTTTTAGTATAATCCTGCTTTTTATTTAATAAGTATCTTTAAAATATATTAATATATTTTCTAAAAATTATCTTGCTTATTATATTATTTAGTTTAAATATATTTATAAAAATAGTTTCTCTATTAATAGTCTATATAAATACTGCAAAAATAAAAATAAGATTTATATAATGAATTTAAAAAATTATAATTATATTTTATATACTTATTATAATTATAGATATAAAAAATAATTTTATAATAAAAAAGAGTGGTCTAATCTTTAAAAGACTAAAAATAGAATAATTTAAGAGCTTAAAAAAACTCTTAAAAAATAAGCTATCCTATTTATAAAGATTAATTATCTCTTTAAATAATAATAGTTTCTTAAAGAGTAAGATTTTAAAATATTAGATTATAATATGAATATAATAAATATTCTTAATAAGAAAGATCCTAATAATATTTCTTCTTTAATTCTTTTATCTAAGCAGCAATTAAATATTACTTTTAATAGTCTTTTTAGATTATTATATTCTAATTTTAATTATTTTAGTTCTGTGACGGCCTAGTACGATTTGGCTTGGCGGCACACGGTTACTGCGGAAGTACCCGCGGGCCGCCTCCCGTGGACGAATCACATGCAGGGAAGATGTGGGGCTAGATATACCTTATAGGGATTACCCTGTGTTTTGATTCACGCTGCAGATTGCTGGAGGATTTATGTGATATTAAGAAGGGTAAATAGTCTTTGCCAGCTAGTATTCTATATTATTAGAATCTTCTAGAAATCTAGATTACTAGGCACTGGTATATAATAGAGATAGCCTATAGGTATTTAGAATGAAAAGAAGTATAAGTAGGAGGAAAAGGGCTGATAATTATTCTTTTCTTTTCTTTTTTTTAATTTAGTCTCTTTGTATTTAGCAACTAAATAGATTTAATATTATATTATTATATTAGACTAAACTTTTATTTATTTATTAATACTAATCTTTACAAATCTATAAGTAG